GGGGGGGGGGGTCCAAAAGTCGTACAATAGGAAATTGCAAATTTCCGTCTTACCTAACGTGAAACTGTGTTCAGCATCTTCGTCGTTAATTTTAACGATTTGCACCGGTCTACCGATCATTTTGAAAATATTAAATACTCTGAAAACAAACGAAATATAATAACAAAAGGTAATCAATGTTACATAAAATGTCCATGATACTAAATTAATTTAAACAATTTGAGTTTAATTTCATCATTTATTAAATTACTTCTGGGTTTGCATTTATAAAATGAGGGCAGTTAATGAACGTATTAACCTATTAATCAAGGTCAGAAAACCAGAAATGGTTTAAAATTGGCCTAACTGTCCAATAGTGCGTATCTGGTTGGCAAGTTCGTCTGCAACTAGCTGCCTTTCTTGCTTTCTGACTGATAAGTTCACAGTACACGATAGCAAAGACGATTTTTTTTTAAAAGAAAAGGATGGATGAAGAAGCGACCTACTGGGAGTCCGAACTATAACTGTAAAACCACGGTTTCGAACATTTGAATGCTTTGGAATAGCTTTGAGATTGGAAACCATTGAGAATTAACAATTTACATATTGAAATCTAAACATATTTCTAGGAAAATAAAACATATTCTTTTCAAATTCGTTTTTCTCTAACAATGACTGCGATGTCTCTAAATGTCGTCAAGTTGTAAATGAGTAAAATATAAGAATATTCCGCGGCGCCATCTTGTGACTTCGCGCTTTTCATTAAATCGAGAAACTTATCGCCCATTGCAACTCCAGTGGGAGTTAAAGAGGTCAAATTGTCAACAATTTTCTTTACAATGTGTAATTTTTAAATTGAAGCCGAGCGCTGCGGCCAGGAAATGTCTTTGATTTCAATAATTTCCAACCAAATTATTATATTATTTATTTTGTATCTAACCTTAAAAAAATAAAAATTAAAAATTTTGCTGAAAAAAAGGCGGTCATGGACAAAATAGAAAGGTAATTTCCTAGTATACGATTTTTGGACCCCGCCCCCCCTCNTTTCGCGGAACGGGGGGGCTAGCCCCCCCGTTACCCCCCCTAATAACTTTCAGATTTCGCCCCCCCCTCAGAAAAGGCCTAGTTGCGCCACTGCTTCTGAGTCAAATAATTATGCCACAAACTTTGCATGGTGATATCAAAATTTTCAATGACCCCCTCCCCTCCATCTTTATAACATATTCTGCAATATGCATTTCTTGGAATTTTATTTGTTTAGCAATCCCTCATCTTGGCAGTAGGCTGGTTAACCGGCTGGCTCACGATGGTAACCCATACTGCAGGAATATGGAGGATACGGTAATATATTTGTAAATTGATAAATGTATTGATTGATGGTAACATTAATTGATGTATACATTGATTGATTCATTGATTAATGGACGCATTGATTGATGAATGCATTGATTGATGGATACATTGATTGATGGATGCATTTATTAATGGATGCATTTATTGATGGATTCATTGATTGATGGATGCATTGATTAATGAATGCATTGATTAATGGATGCATTGATTGATGGATGCATTGATTTATGGATGCATTGATAGATGGATGCACTGAAGGATGCATTTATTGATGAATTCATTGATTGATTTAAGGGATTCTTTGATTATTGGATATTGTAGAAACGTTAACCATTCATTTATTACTTGAAGTGGGGTTGCCACCAGACATCTTATTGGAGACGAGACACTCAGCACTCAAGGCCCAGTTGGTGGCAGGCTAATGTCAAGGCAACAAAACAGGTTAATAGAAATATTCTAGGTTTTTATCGATTAATTGATTATGGATGAGATTATTGTTTATAACAAAATCTCTGGGCCTGAGGCAAATCTCGCCTATGAGACCCCCCCCCCCTGAAAGATTCGCGTTTACTTTTTAACGACGCTTGGGGTTGTCTGATTTAATTTTCCTAGAGTATGTTTTATTAATGATGAACCCTAGATCAACATTTTACAATTCCATAATCTGTTGTTTTATTATTCACCAGTGCTTTATTGTATTAAAATAAATTCTTTCGAAAAAACACTTACGATCCAGGTAGTAGAGGCGGGAAATTTGTTCACTGAATCAGCTAAAATTATTTATTTAAGTTTGATTTTTAAAAACTTTCAAATTTTCAAAATTGTTCTATTATAGATATTTAATTAAAATTTTGAATTATATTTTGTTTTAGGGAAACGGAACTGTGTATAGAACACATGGCTTAGAGATGCTTGATTAGATCTTTCTTGCCACTTTACATGTATATTATTCCGACTTAGATACGAGTTGTGTGTAATATCTGTACGCGAATACTTTTAGTCTTTAGTAGGTATTAAATAGAGTGAAATAAATTATAATTCCAGATTTAAAATGGCGCTTGGACGAGGAAAGTTGATCGGTGTTATTGGAGACGAAGATACATGTGTAGGTCAGTGTCCAGGGGCAATGCGGGGGGGGGCACTACGGTTAGGATAGGCTACGGGGCCGAGTGCTGCGGCTATAACAGGCTAGGTTGCTGAGCGCTGTGGCTATAACAGACTTGGGAAATAGAACATTTGGGAATTTACCACTTGGGAAAATACCCATGGGAAATTGCTGCTTAGAAAAAGTCCAGTAATTTTATCGTAATGTTGGTCCACTGTGCTCTGAAACTTCATTACCTCATGATTTGACGAAAAAATTCAGTTGATTTATTTTCTTTATTTCGTTACAGGTTTTTAACTTTTCCGCTCATTGTTCCTAAATTATTTATCTTGATCCTCATCTCCAGTGCTTAGGAATTGGATCCTAAGCAAAAAAATTGAATATTTTCTAGCTGTTTAAAAAGTCAGTAAATCTTGAAGACCTGGATTTGATTCCATTTGTTTTGAGGACAGATCCAGGATCTGGATCCGTATATCCTGAGCATTGCTAATTTTTGAATTAAAACTTATTTTTTTAAATCCTGGGTTTTAGGTTTCCTTCTTGGTGGTATTGGTGAGCTGAATAAGAACCGACAACCTAACTTTATGGTGGTAGACAAAAATACTTCAACATCTGATATAGAGGTTAGAGGTGTACACGGTACAGGGTACAGGGGTGTATTATTTCCTCAAAATCAATTTTTGAATAAGAGCTGTCAATAAGNCCAATATTAAGAAAAAGTGCTACAATTTGCTTATTAAAGCATTTTCCCCCCTAAAATAATAGATTCTAGATGTTTTTCCCCACAACATAATTATAATTGAAAAGATTTTTTTTGTGCGGGGCAATTAAGATTCAGTTAATTGTATTTCATTAATACGCTAAAATACTAATTATTATTTTTCTTGCATTGTATTATTTATTTTTTAGGATTGTCTTAAAGAATTTATTCGCAGAGACGATATCGATATAATTCTGATAAACCAGGTACCAAAAGAAAAATAATAGGGCTTACTATTCATTTCAAAAAAGTGCTGCGGATCCGAATCTTTTCGTGTATATACATAAAGACGCTTCATACTTTCAGATTTAACTCTAAATTAAATTAAAAGAACACAGGGAGGCGAAATTTTGTCAGTCACTTTGATTTGGATGTGAAGAACCTATGTTTTCTTATATTTTATTTTAGAAAATATAAATTGTTTAATCCTTGGTCCGGGGCGCGTATGGGGGAGTTCTTTTATCATTTTCGAGAAAGTAACACAAGTTTGTTCACCCCTTATACTCAAATTTTTTTTTCCGCCAAAGAAGTTTTCTCGCATTTTAAGGTGAAATGAATGATTGAAGAAAATATAAACCCCTGTATTATATTTTATCTAAATCTAATGTATCCTAGTCTGTTGCTGAACTTGTCCGTCATGTCTTGGACTCTCATACTGCGGCTCTACCCGCTATACTGGAGATACCAAGCAAGGTTAGTTCAACATATAAAGGGAATGTTCAGAGTTCACCTTGTTGAAAATGTGCACAATATCCTTTTTTTTGAAGTAATACAGGGGTACACACAAAGAACGAGACTGTAAAGACGACTTGAAACTGTTAATATATGACAATAAAGTCCGTGCAGTTGCTTGTCTCTGAAGTCTCATTCTTTGTGAGTAACCCTGTAGCAAATTAAGCCATTCAAAAAACGTATCTTTCAGTTTTTGAGACTTAGAAATATATTGTTTTATATATATAAAATAATAAAATTTTCCAATACGACAAGTAGTCAACATTCAATATAAGGTAAACCTATAATTTAAAAAGAGAAAATATTTTAAGAAAAAAAACTACCTCAGAAACATCTTTTGGAAATTTTAATGACAATTTTGCGACGAAAATTACTGTTTTAACGTGATTTATCGTTCAATATTTAAGACTAGAAAGAAATTTTTGTACTTTAGAATTTATACTTTTAAAGAACCCCCTGGTGGGTTCCTTGACACCAATAATTTATCAGAAACTTTATTAGTAAAATTTTTAAATAAAAAAGTTCGAAAGGTTCAAGTTTACAAACCTTTCGGAAAATTAAAACGAAATTATCTGTAATTTAATGATTATTAACTAAAAAAAAATCGTTAAAATTGTTAATTTTCAATTGTGGTTTCTCTCCAGAAATTATTTTCACATTTCTTCTTTCAAAAACAACGGAGAAAAAAATCGGAATTAAACACGACAATATTTTCCACATTAGTAATCAAATTACTAACAAACAAAGAGGATCATTCCATTTTCCCCCACCCGAACTTGCAAGGCCGTGCACAGTGATGGGAGGGGGGGCCGAGCTGGGGCAGTACCCCTCCCCAGAGGGCTTCCGAAGCTCCCCCAAACAGTCTTCCAGGAAGGATCTTCCATTTATAATCGTCAATTTCTACTTCAAACGGACTAATTTGATTATTTAAGCACGGTAGACGCAAATAGGTAAAATGAGGTTCGGAAGCTGTGCGGGGGAGGTTGCCTTCCCTCGCTCATCCAGCATTTAAAAAAAGGGTTTCCGATTCACAACGGTATTTTTAAAAGATTTGTCTGATCGAGAATAAATAAGGCATGTTTTTGTTTCGGAAAATTGTTAATTTTTATTTGTGGTTTCTCTACAGAAATTATTTTCACATTTCTTCCTTCAAAAACAACGGAGAAAAAAATCGGAATTAAACACGACAATATTTTCCACATTAGTAATCAAATTAAAGTTTAAAGGGTTCCTTCGTGAATCGGGTATGATCTCTTAAATGGAATGTCACTTTATATCCGTAGACAATCCCTTTAGATTTTTATGAAACTTTCTAATTTAAAGTGTAATTATAATTTTGTTAACACTCCCTTTAATTCAGGATGCTCCGTATGACCCTGCTAAGGACAGTATCCTGCGAAGAGCCAAGGGAATGTTCTCAGCTGAAGATCTCAAATAATCAAACCAACTCTGAAATAAGTTCAATGTTCTTCATGTTAGAAGATTTTATTTTATTCTTTGTCACTAGTGTTTCATATTCATGTTCTAGTTTGTAGCCAATATTTTGATTGTGTGCAAAAAATTACTGAACGCTTGTTCAATAGTGAGTTTTTGGATCTGAGGCATTTTTTATGATTGTGATTAATTTACATTTTGAAGTAGAAAATATTTATTATGATAATTTATATTGATATATTAATTTTTGGGACTATATTTACTGAAAAGGGTTGAGAGATGTTTATTTTCCTTCCCCCCCCACCCTCCCTTTATTTGTTCACGGTTTTTGAGGAATTATTTTTGGAATAAAATTTGCTACATTTAGTTTTTCAATTTTACTTCAGAATCTTGTTAATATTATTCCCTGATTCCATTCATTTTCACTTGTTAAAATGCATCATGTTAAGAACTGCGAAAGGATTTCACCTTCACCAGCTACCTAGCTACCCGGAGGGGAGAACCCACCCCCCGAGTAGCTTGGTACCGATCCTTGGGAGGGGGTGGGAAGTGTTAGGAAGTAATACACATACTCAGAACTTCTTTAGTAACTGTTATTTATGTGATTTTTACAAAAAAAAACTATTTCTCCGAATCAATAATAACTTTTACTTGATAAATAATAATAATTCACTATTTTATTGTTCCAGAAAAGTTAAAATGTCGCTGAAATCCCGAACTTCTCTGGAGCCTAAACCTCCACAGGAAGAACAGCCATTTTAAAAGTCTTTGTCAGGATACCAGAGTCAGGAACTTATAAACGAATGGAATAAGTTAAACTGGTTTCAAAGGAGTAAAACTCATTCCCGCATTTGCAGTTACGATGTTGTAAACATGTCTTTCATCGTGAATCAGACTTTTTGTTGCTTTGATTTTGAATCAGTGGTGTATCATCCCCCCCAAGCTTTTAAAAAATTTATTTTTTTAGAAGTGCTAGGTATATTTGTGCTTAGAGCATAGAGCAAATTTTGTTTTCAAAATTCAGGAAATCAAATCAGTTTAGGGGTAAATGAAACAAATTTTTGGGCAAAAATTTGCAAAAGCATGTAGAAAAATTTATTTTTTGCATTTTTTTGCATGTTTTTACTCTCTACTTTATAATTGGAAGACGAAAATACTGGCCCGTGTATACTGTATATAACATTGAAATTCATTTTATCTCGCAAGTTTTTTTTAGGGTATAAAAAATATAAACCCCTGAACAAATATTCTAACATCGTTAAATAAGGTTTTTTCTTCAAAAAGCAGGTAATGGAAAATTGCAGTTGTGAATCGGGCGTGACTGGAGGGTCCCTTGGAATTATTACGACTGTCCTTTACTTGTTAATCTTTCAGATGAGAGCTGGCTAATCAATCTCTCTGAAAGAATTTTGAACAATTTCAAATTTGAGTTTTCTCCACTAAATCAAATGAATAGATTTAAAGTATATTTCTAAATAATATTTTCCTAGTTTTATTATTGCCAAGATGAAATTGTTCCTTTAATCAACATTTCGAGTAATCAATGTATATATATATTTTAGAAATCCTTTTGTGGGTTGGTAGGTGGGGTAATGATTTTCAAAAATTCGCGGGATGAAAAAAAATTGGCCATGATTTTAAGGTTTTCATTTTTTTATACTCTTCATTTATTTTTCTCTTCTTTAATTTCCCGATTGAGTGACAGAAAGGGATATTAATTTTCAAGAATTAATTAGTATAACATGTCACTACTTATTCTTTTTACTTCCCTTTTTTTAATGGTTTGTACGAGTAATTTTAAGTGAACCTCTATGAAATAATTGCAATGTCTGATTGACAACGGTACCCTAAAAACTTTGTCGGTTTATTATATATTATTAAATATTAACGTTTATAAATCTGAAAGCTTATTATTCTCAATCTTGGTTTCTCTATAAAAGTGACTTCCATATTTCTATACTACAGGAAACAAGATCAAAATTATGCACAGAAAAACGGCAATATCTACACAATATTGATCAGATAATGGTGTCAAGGGCATCGTTGTGCATTGTTCATTGTCATAATTTCATGGAGGGTCACTAAAATTACACGTACAGTCCCTTTAAGCTGAACATTATATTTGAATGGTTGAATAAACCTAGGTTGAAGATTTTGTGTTTGGATCCTGGCAAATACAAATCTCGAAATCCAGGATAATGAGTTCGGTTGAGGTATGTGCATTCTGCAATTTCGTGCATTCAATAAACGGTGGTGAGAAATTTACCCAAATGCAATATTTTGAAAGGAATGTATTCAAAATGATAATTTTCCAGATTCAGTTAAAATGTATACTGTGTATTTTGAAAAGGGCTCTTGGGTCACTTACAGTTCTAATCAGAAAGACCCGGAATTAATTTATAATTGATCAGACGACTTTACAAATATAATTGAGAAACGATAAAATTGTCCTAGTCCTGCCTTTTCGGAGCATTTAAAATTATCAAAGATATATATTATAGTCGCCTGATTAACTGTCAATTTAATTCCGGGTCTTTCTGATTATGACTGTAGTTAATTTTTAAAATACAAAGTACAAACTATAAACAAGCACGACCCGCTTATATGTATGCTTCTAGCTACTGATCTATACTATTCTGGGCTAGAGTACATGTAACTTTGTCGGTGGGCTACGCAGCTGTTATATCTGAGTGGACCCTAGATATTTTTAGGAAATTTCTAAAACCTCTGCATAGCAAATTTTAGTTTTTACTATAACAAATTTTTATTCTGGCTATTGTTCATTCTATAAAAATAATTTGTAATTTTAAAAAAGTTTGAAGTGAAGTTCAGGGTACAAATTAGAGAAGAACTTTGGTAGATAGTGGGCCCTAGAGTAAGCAGAAATGAGATACTGTAGCTAAAATTATAGCATTTTCTTCAAAGAGTTGGTAGCATCAAAGGTGCCTTGTTTTCAGAATTCCAAAATGTGGTCTGCCGTTTTTGTACCTTAAGAATTGACCAAGATATTGAGAAATTTGTTTAAAATTCAAAATATTAAATATCAGCAAGGTTGTTTAAATCTTTAGTATCTCCAACAATTTTTATAATACAAAGAAGAAGGCTAAATCTTATCAAGTTTTAACACGAAAACACCCCAGCGAAAAAATTACATCAAACCTTGACTATGATATATCTATCTATTATATATCCATGCATTTAAGATCGATCTTAACATTTTTATTTCTATCTTACGTTCCTATGAAGAGAATTAGAAATAAAACCTTCTTAATGGAAAATTTGGGATTTGGGGTCACTGCCTTTCATTTTGACCTGCATATGATAGTCCATAAACCAGAAAAAGTAAAAATATGCCTTACGTGGAGTCAGTAAAAGCTGACCAAAAGTTTCAGCCATTTATGATTTTTGGCAAAATTTGTGGACATTAATTACATCTTTCTTAAATATATCTTTTGTATTCTTTAACACTGATAATTGGAGAAAACTAGCTTAACACTTTTTTATTCTGGGATACTCTAATATTTACTGGTTTGCATAGGAGGTGTTAGGTACTTTCCCAAATCTGGAATTTCCATAGTGGCAACTTCCCAAATGTATATTGAAGGCTTTAATGGGATGGGGGGGGGGGGGGGTCGAGTAAAATATTATTGGGAAGTTGCCACTTAGGAAAGTACCTAATATTATGTAGGAGGAGGAAGTAATGAAAAGCCTTGAACTCCCGCATCTACCAGACATGCTCTTCCTTCACAATCATCTCACCCTCAACCACCAGGAGGGCCTACACATTTCCTTCAAACCACTGGACGCGCTTAAACGCGTTAATGCGCACGAAGATCTGGTGCACGTTTCAATGTCGCAGGTTGTTTTTGATAAAATGAACATGCCTATACAATTTTACATATTTAAAATAAAAAATGTTCTTTTTTCGTTATTCTGGATTTTGGTGATGTTGAAATTTCGAGTCAGCCTTCATTTTAAAAGTTAAACCAACAATGGTACTCGTTCAACTTTGATCTAGTGTGGAAGATGTTGTCGTTATCCTAGCTTGATAAAATTAAACATTTTTGACTGTTTCTGGTGCAAAACCAGACAATTTTATTAAAAATTATAATTCTTCAGATTAAAAAATAAACAAAATAAAAGTGTTTAAGAGTATCCTTGTGAATCTAATTATTTCTCCCAACCACAATTACCTTGTCAAGGGTAAAAACTTTGTGTGGGTTTTATTAGTCGTTTTTTACAAAGAAATAAATACTTCGTAAATTGGCAAAATAGGAAATTTGAGAGAATTGAAAATGCATTTCGAGTTTGCACTTTTCATGCGTAGACTGAAACTTTATCTGAAGAAAGGAAAACATTTTAAATTGTATTATTTGTTATTATGTTGGATGTGCACCGACCTTGCTACTGGACTACTATTCAAGAATTTTTTCTAGATTTTAAAATTGATTAATTTTGTTACTTTTAAAATTTGAAAAAAAATTTATTTTGTAAATTAACATGCAATTTTGTATCTAGGAATGGCGTAGAGGTTGAGTGTACTACTATTTTTGATTATTTTATCTAGCCGAAGACACGATCTAAGTTCTAAGATTTAGAGGTTATAAGATAAAAAGATTAGAAATTTTAGTTTGAGGGAGAAGTATATTTGTAACTGATTTCTTGCATCTAGGAATGGTTAGAAACTAGGAAGGATTCTCCTCATATTTTTTTCTCTAGTAATGGTTAGAAACTAGGAAGAATTCTCCTCATATCTTGTATCTCTAGGAATGGTTAGAAACCAGGAAGAATTCTCCTCATATCTTGTATCTCTAGGAATGGTTGGATACTAGGAAGAATTCTCCTCATATCTTGTATCTCTAGGATTGGTTGGATATGAAGAATTCTCTTCATATCTTGTATCTCTAGGAATGGTTGGAAACTAGGAAGAATTCTCCTCATATCTTGTATCTCTAGGAATGGTTGGATAGGAAGAATTCTCCTCATATCTTGTATCTCTAGGAATGGTTGGATGCTAGGAAGGATTCTCCTCATATCTTGTATCTCTAGGAATGGTTGGAGGCAAGGAAGGATTCGCCTCATATCTTGTATCTCCAGGAATGGTTAGAAACTAAGAAGAATTCTCCTCATATCTTGTATCTCTAGGAATGGATGTATGCCAGGAAGGATTCTCCTCATATCTTGTATCTCTAGGAATGGTTGGAGGCAAGGAAGAGTTTTCCTCATATCTTGTATCTCTAGGAATGGTTGGATGCAAGGAAGGATTCTCCTCATATCTTATATCTCTAGGAATGGTTGGATGCTAGGAAGGATTCTCCTCATATCTTGTATCTCTAGGAATGGTTGGATGCAAGGAAGTATTCTCCTCATATCTTGTATTTCTAGGAATGGTTAGAAACTAGGAAGGATTCTCCTCATATTTTGTATCTCTAGGAATGGTTGGATTCAAGGAAGGATTCTCCTCATATCTTGTATCTCTAGGAATGGATGTATGCCAGGAAGGATTCTCATATCTTGTATCTCTAGGAATGGATGTATGCCAGGAAGGATTCTCCTCATATCTTGTATCTCTAGGAATGGATGGATGC